AGGTCAGAAGAGGCTGTTGGATCCCCTGTGACTGGTGTTACGGACAGTCGTTAGGGGCCGTGTGGGTGCTGGGAGTCAAATTGGGGTCTTCTGCAAGAACAATCAGTGTTCTTAACCACTGAGCCATCACTCCAGCCCAGACAAATATGAATATTTTCTTAATTCATTTAGAATTGTTCATAGTTAAGGCTCCTGCTTTAATTCAGTGGCTAAAAACTTATTTAACATGCATGATACCCTAGGTTCAATCCACAGAACTGACAGGAATTTACACAAAGAAATATGCCAGGCATGGTGGTGCATTGTGGAGGCAGAGGAAGGAGGGTCTCTGTGAGTTCATGGCCAGCCTCGTCTATGTAGTGAGTTCCAGGCCAGCTTGGGCTATAGGGAGACCCTGTATCAAAAAGGAAAAAAAAAAAAAAAGAAAAAAAAAAAAGAAAAGAAAAGAAACCCGATTGTTCATTCTTCAGTGAGTTTAAAGATATTTATAGAAATAATGCATGAGGGCAGGTGCGTGCTGATATCCCTCAATTTTGCTGACTGTGCCATTAGTTCGTGGAAGAGGAAAAGGACTTAAATGTAAAATTTCAGACCTTGTAGCTTATTAGTTTTCACTGCATGCTATGCATCCATAATGGGATTATGTGAACAAGTTCTTAACTGGGGAAGATGTATGTGAAGGAAATTAGACAGGAACAGGTGGAGCCAGGCAGAATACTCAGACCACATGTAGTTCTGATCCCAATGGGGCCAGACCAGGGGGCATGACCTAGACAGTATCAGTTCTTGGAGTGTTTCTGCAAGGCTGAGGGTGAGTCTTCAGTCTGAGTGGCCTTTGGAGAAGTGCAAGTATATCATGCAATGCCCACAGAGGTCAGAAGAGGGCATCGGATCCCTTGGACCTGGAGTTACAGACAGTTGTTAACTTCCATGTGGATGCTGAGAATCAAACCTGGGTCTTCTCTGAGAGCAGTCAGTACTCTTAACTGCTGAGCGAACTCTGCAGTCCTGCTATTTATTTATTTATTTTTTGCTTCTGTTTTCTGGGCAGAGATCCATGTAGTCTTGTGATTGTTACAGGTGCCTATTGGGTGACCTTTTCTTGGGGAGATGTGAACAAGTGTCTGTTTGCCCTAGACAGAGCACAGACAACAGACCAGAACAATAACTCCCCTGAGGTACAACCTGTCAAACCAATGAGCACCAGGTTTCCTTACAGAGCACAGGCAACTCCAAAACAGCCATATCACCAAAAAGTCTCACCCCAGAATAGATGATGACCCTCTCATAACTGCATAGACGGGGTATTCTGTCCAGTTAACCTTTGACATTATAT